TATATATGTATGTATATATATGCTAATCGACCAAACAACCAAACGACCGGTTGCTATGATGCGCACTGACCACCAGGGGGCAGACACTCAATGCAAGAGCTGCCCCCTGGTGGTCAGTGTGCTCCCACAGCAGGAGTGCTGCTCAGCTGATGGACCCATCCCGGTGGCCTACCAGCCCAACAGCAGCCACTCACTCTCTCAGTAGACCTGCAGATCCAATCTCCAGAGAACGGGCCAGGCATTGATGGACCGGCACTGCTGGCATGATCTTGACAGTGCAGCAGGTCTCCTGGAAGTTGGCCTTGGGCACCGCTACCACTTCTCCTCCCTAGATGCTCCACAAGAAAGAAACGATATAAAATCAGCCAACAGGTGGATCCTGACAAACTGCACAAACATCAGCAGCATGGGTCTGAATCCCAGGCCGGTGAGGGGATCCCACCGCTCACCCAGATTGCCAATTGTGCCCCCCCCCCCCCCCCCGCTCCTCGGGATGGGCGCCAGATTCAGGGATTATGGCTGGCGAGTGCTGCTGCTGCTGCGGTGCGAGCCTCTCCCAATTGGGACTGACTGAGCATGAGCCCGTGGCAGGCGCAGTGGGGCTGGGATGAGTAGGAGTGGCAGGCAGGAGCAGCAGGCAGCATTGGACTGCTGATTTCAGCCTGATCCCCACAGGACACCCTAAGGGAACCCACCTGCACAAATTCGTGCACCAGGCCTCTAGTGCAATATATAAACACTGAACTTTATAAATTGGATAAGGCAGAGAAGATCCCTGTGGGACTCTGGTTGACATATTTAAGTCTCAGTTTCCTTTCTCTAAGCTGCAGAGAATCCACATCTTTATGCATTAATTTGAAATGTTATACAGGGTAGGGCAAAGGTAGGTTTAGAGTTTGTATGGAAAGTAATACAAACATTAATAAATAATAACACAAGAATAAACTCTGTTTCATGTATTCACAACTGTAAATCTACTTTGTCCCACACTATATTTACCTTGGTTTATTTCCTTTCCAGGTTGCACCTGATATATCTATTGAGAAACATGAAGATGAAGAGGTGAAAATTCAACCTGAGTATCATCTAAAATACTCAGTGGACCAGGTATAATAGGACTATTATGACCATTGTTATTACACTAATTATTCTTCATTTTGATGCTGGCTATTCTTAAAAAGTAGCAATGACTTTGATGGAGAATTAGTTTTGTTTATTGTTTTTCCTCTTTAAAAAAAATCTTCGTTGTTGAGAATATTACAGATGTCCCCCTTTTTCCCCTCATTGCCCACCTCCATCCAGTTCCCACCCCACTCCAGACCTTCACCATCCTACTGCCTGTGTCCATAGGTAAGATCTTTGGTTAATCTCCTCCTGACCCCCCTACCCACTTCCCTCTGAGATTCATCAGTCTGTTCCATGCCTCTGACTCTATTTTACTCACCAGTTTGTTTATTAGATTACTTGTTCACTTATTTTGATTTTTAGGTTAGATATGTATTTGTTGTCATTTTAGTCATATTTTTATCTCTTCTTCTTCCTCTCCTCCTCCTCCTCCTTCTCTTCTTCCTCTTTTTAAAGAATTCCCTTCAACATTTCATATAATACTGGGTTTGTGGTGATGAACTCCTTTAGCTTTTTCCTGTTTGTGAAGCTCTTTATCTGACCCTCAATTCTAAATGAGATCTTTGCTGGGTAGAGTAATCTTGGTTGTAAGACTTTGCTATTCACTACTTTGAATATTTCTTGCCACTCCCTTCTGGCCTTCAAAGTTTCTGTTTGAGAAATCAGCTGACAGTCATATGGGTACTCCCTTGTAGGTAACTAACTGCTTTTCTCTTCGTTTAAGATTCTCTCTTTGTCTTTAATCCTTGGCATTTTAATTATGATGTGTCCTGGTGTGGGCCTCTTTGAGTTCCTCTTGTTTGGGGTTCTCTGTGCTTCCTGGACTTGTAAGTCTATTTCTTTCATCAGGTAGGGGAAGTTTTCTGTCATTATTTCTTCAAATAGATTTTCTTGCTCTCTCTCTCTCTCTCTCTCTCTCTCTCTCTCTCTTCCCCTCTGGAACCCCCCATAATGCAAATGTTGGTATGCCTGAAGTTGTCCCAGAGGTTCCTTATACTATCTTCATATTTTTAGATTCTTTTTTCTTTTTTCTCTTTTGCTTGGGTGTTTTTTGCTTCCTCATATTCCAAATCATTGATTTGATTCTCTGAATCCTCTACTCTAACTGTTGATTCCCTGTAAATTATTTTTTTAAATAATTCTTTCTTGTAGAAAGTTCCACTATTTCCCCATTGACCCCTACCAGCCTGCTCCCATCCCCCGCCCAGGTCCTTACCACCTCATTGTCTGTGTCCATGGGCCATGCATATATATATGCATACAAGGACCTTGGTTGGTTACCTTCCAGTCCCCCCTCTTCCCACTTCTCTCCAAGATTCCACACACCGTTCCATGCTTCCATATCTCTGGATCCATTCCATTCATCAGTTTATTTTGTGACTTTCCACATATGAGTGAGATCATGTGACACTTTCTCTGACTGACTTATTTCACTTAGCATGATACTCTCCAAGTCCCTCCATGCTGTCTCAAAGGGTAAGATATTCTTTTTTACTGCTGCATAGTAATCCATGGTGTAAATGTACTACAACTTTTTTATCCACTCATCTACTGATGGGCACTTGGGCTGTTTCCAGATCTTTGCTATTGTGAATTGTGCTGCTGTGAACATACTGGTGCATACATTCTTTCTGATTGGTGTTTCTTGCTTCTTAGGATATGTGGCAGTTCCATATTTAATTTTTTGAGGAAACTCCATACTGTTTTCTATAATGGCTGTACCAATCTGCATTCCCACTAACAGTGTACTAGGGTTCCCTTTTCTCCACATCCTCACCAACACTTGTCATTGATTGATTTGTTGATGGTAGCCATTCTGATAGGTCTGAGGTGACACCTCATTGTCATTTTACTTTGCATCTCTCTGACAATCAGTGAATTTGAGCATTTTTCATATGTCTCTTGGCCATCTGCATGCCCTCTTTGGATAAGTGTCTATTTAGGTACTTTGCCCATTTTTAATTGGATTGTTTATCTTCCTTCTGTTAAGTTATATGGGTTCTTTACATATTTTGGATATTAATCCTTTATCAGATGTATCATTGCCAAATATGTTCTCCCTTTTGGTTTTGTTGATGGTTTCTACTGCTATGCAGAAACTTTTTATTGTTTGTGTTGTTGTTTTTTTGTTTGTTTTAAATATTTTTATTGATTTCAGAGGGGAAGAGAGGAGAGATAGAAAAATCAATGATGAGAGTGAATCATTGATTGGCTGCCTCCTGCACACCCACTACTGGAGATAGAGCCTACAACCCAGGCATGTGCCCTGACTGGGAATTGAACCGTGACTTCCTGGTTCATAGTTCTATGCTCATTCACTGAGCCACCTTGGCTGGGCCAGAAGCTTTTTATTTTGATGTAGTCCCATTTGTTTATTCTCTCTTTAGTTTTCTTTGCCCTAGGAGATGTATCTGTAAACATATTGCTGTGAGGGGTGTCTGAAATTTTGCTGCCTATGGTTTCTTCTAGGGTTTTTCTGGTTTCACAACTTACATTTAAGTCTTTTATCCATTTTGAGTTTATTCTTATGCATGGTGTAAGTTGGTGGTCTAGTTTCATTTTTTTGCATATATCTGTCCAATTTTCTCAACACTGTTTATTGAAGAGACTGTCTTGAATCCATTGTATGCTCTTGCCTCCTTTGTCAAATGTTAATTGAGAGTAATGACTTGGGTTGATTTCTGGGTTCTCTGTTCTGTTCCATTGATCTATATGCCTGTTCTTGTGCCAGTACCAGGCAGTTTTGATTGCAGTGGCTTTATAGTATAACTTGAAATCTGGTATTGTGATCCCTCCAACTTTGTTCTTCTTTCTCAAGATTGCTGCAGCTATTTTAGGTCTTTTTGATTACATATACATTTTTTGGATTATTTGTTCTAGATCTGTAAAATATGCTGTTGGTATTTTAATAGGGATCACATTGAATTATAGATTGCCTTGGGTAGTATGGACATTTTAATGATGTTGATTCTACCAGTCCATGAACCAGTATATTCATCCACTTATTTATATCTTCTTCTATCTCTTTTTTCAATGTCCTGTAGTTTTTTGAATATAGGTCTTTTGCCTCCTTGGTTAAGTTTATTCCTAAGTATTTAATTTTTTTGTTGCAATGGTAAATAAGATTGCTTGTTTAGTTTCTCATTCTGAGAATTCATTATTGGAGTATAAAAAAGCCATTGATTTTCGGGTGTTGATTTTGTATCCTGCTACATTGCCAACTTCATTTATTAAATCTAATAGTTTTCTGGTGGAGTCTTTAGGATTTTCTATGTACAATATCATAATAAGAGTTTTACTTCCTTCTTTCCAATTTGGATGCCTTTTATTTCTTCTTCTTGTCTGAAGGACTAGGACTTCCAGTCCTACATATGTTGAATAAGAGTGGTGAAAGTGGTCATCCCTGTCATGTTCCTGTTCTTAGGGGAAATGGTTTTAGTTTTTGTCCATTGAGTATGATGTTTGCTGTAGGTTTTTCATATATGGTCATTATCATGTGAGATATGCTCTCTCTATTCCCAATTTGCTACGAGTTTTTAATAAAAATGGGTGTTGGATTTTGTCAAATGCTTTTTCTGCATTTATTGATATAGGTGTTTACCTATGCCGCCATCTTCGAGAATTAGTTTTATGAAGAGTCAGAGGACATGATTGCCTCCATAATATGATTCTGGGGTATAACCCTAACATACTCAAAGAAATCCTTCAGATTTATGGAGAAACAGGGTGTATTGTTCATGTAATTAACTTTGTGATGTATTTTCTATTGAAAGGTTGAAGAGAAACATATTTTGGAGAAGGAAATAGAAATGTTAAAGAAAAGTTTAGAGAATGAAAAAATGTTGACAGAAAGGTACTGGAAATAATGATTCATAACTACTCATTTGTAGCTAATACAAAATTTAACTATCTATAAATTTATTACAGGTATAGGAAGGAATCAGAACGGATAAACAAAATATGGGAAAAGAAATTTCTTATTCTCCAGAACAGGTATAGTGTGGTAATATATAAAAATTCTAGTTATAGAAATGTGACCTATCATCTTTTAAGGAAATGAGGCGAAATTTTTCTGTATATATTAATTAATATTAACAAGAAGTTTAAAATAATTGGCCTAAAATAGAATGGTAGTCAAAGTCACCTCAAAGAAAAAATAATTTAAAACTTTCATTTCCAATGTCAATGTTTCAACTTTTAATGGATCAACAGGACAGGCAGTACCTATTGATTCCTGGTTTAATCAGACCTGCATAATCATCTCTCTTCATAGGGCGTTAAAATGTTTTCCTGCTCATTTGCACATATTCATATTTAACTGGTCTATAGCTTCCTTGTAAAATTGCTTTAAATACTAGATACCCTTTCCATTTTTAGACAGGCAACACCAACTCCTTAATTCTCAGATCTAATTTTTATTCAGATAATTATTTTAATTTCTCTTCCCCGTGTCATCTTTGTCTTCTTAAATATGGAGAAAGTAAAAAGAAATGAAGAAAGTGACACTAAAATTTTGAAAAAGCTGAAAGCAATGCCAACTAAAAAAAAATGCTTATTTTTTTCTTTTCCTAACATGTTAGTATTAAAATTCTATGTTCTGTTCTCTCGGTTTCTGCCACAATTTCCATTAGAATTTCTTTGCATGTTGGAAATTTCTTTGCAAGATTTTCTCACAGTGAAGCATCTACAGGATAGATTCAATGTTGGTCTGATGTCCTAGGTCACACTTGAGGCTCATACCTGACTTCATGAGGTGATCATGCCATACATTTGCACTGCACTTCATAAACATACAGTGTGTGTGTGTGTGTGTGTGTGTGTGTGTGTGTGTGTGTAAAATTCTGACCATTAGCACTGAAAAATCCAGGTGTCATGTTGAGAATCTACATAACAGAAATACCACCAGATGATGAGTGAAGGCTCTCCTCTTTGTGGTAAAACATTCTGCTTTCCACTCCGGCTTGTGTGTCACATCTGTGATGATAACTATTTTGTGCTCTGAAAAAATGTGCATATTAATACTTCCCCTGTCCCTTCACAGAGTTATCATAAGGATAGCATATAGATACAGGTGAAACTAGAGGATGAGAACAAAGGAAAGTTTCAACACCCACCTAATTTCATTTCCCCACACAGGGAATTGGAGCTATCTCTGAAACCGAATAGAATGTCTTTCCCTTACTTATTTCTGTGGGGTTTACTTTCATCCTTAAGATTTATCATGTATCTGTGCATATGGAATTCATTCTCTACTCAATGACCATTTACAAGAATATCTCAGTTTTACTTCAAATTGATTTGCTGTTAACCAAAATGTTGACAATCATATTTATCAACTTGGTCTCAGAAGACTTTATGTTGTTATCTAAATATTTAGAACAACAGGAAGTATTATTACACACTTTCTATATGTTTTCTCATTTAATTAACTAACTAGAATATAATGTTGGGACATAATGCATTTGTTCATAATGGTTTGGTTGCATCACCAAGGGCTAACTCAAGGTAATACATGCAACAACATAGAAAGTGCTGTGTCATGGTGGGGTATGGAGATTAAGTGTGCTAAAATGGCTATTTCATTTTGCAGTAACAGGTCGGAGATCAGGAACAATCATTTTTGTTTAGTAGAAGAAAAACTTCACCTTAATCCAGGTGACAGTTTAATCCAATAATTTCTCAGCCAATTCATGGTTTATATTCAGTCCCAGTTGAATTCAGAGCTTCTTCTCCAAGCTCCTTTTTCATTTTTACTGAATTAGCTCTATTTCCAAGAACATCGAACTTATACAGTGCTGACAAGAGCAGGGACTAGTCCTTTTTCTTAACAAGGCATGCCTGGCTCTGCTGCTAATGTCATCATTGCCTTTTCTCTTGGCACAATGGTGCACAGGTGTGCCACATCAGCTCAGGAATAGATCACTACCTGGGTGTTGCCACTGTGATGGAGCCACTCCCATCTCAACTCCAGGAGTTGATTCATAGGAACCCTTCTGAGCCAGGATACAAAATCAATATACAAAAATCAGTTACTTTTCTTTATTTTATTTTTTAAAACATCTTTCTATACACTAATAACAAATTACCAAAAACTAAAGAACAATCCCATTTACAATGGCATCAAAAGGAGTGAAATACTGCCTGGCTGGTATGGCTCGGTGGTTGAGCATCGACCCATGATTCCTGGTCAGGACACATGCCTAGGTTGTGGACTTGATCCCCAGTAGGGAACATGCATGAGGCAGCCAATTGATGTTTCTCTCTCATTGATGTTTCTCTCTTACTATCTCCCTTCCTCTCTCTCCAACACCAATTAAAACATATTTAAAAACAAACAAACAAAAACTTCATTAAAAAACAGAATGAAATACTTATGAATAAATGAACCAAAGAAGTGAAAGATCTGTATAGTAAAAAGTATTTCGTTGATGAATAAATTTGCAGAAGATGAAAATAAATGGAAAGATCCTCTGTGCTCATGGATTGGAAAACTTGATATCTTAAAATGTCCATACTACACAAAGCCATCTATATATTCAATGCAATCCCTATTAAAATCCCAAAGGAATTTTTCAAAGAAATAGGAAAAACAATTATAAAATGTGTATAGAACCACACAAACACACACACACACACACACATACACACACACAAAAAAAACAAAAAAACCCCAAAACAAAAAATACCCACAAATAGCCAAAACAATCTTGAAAAAGAACAATGCTAGAGGCATCATGCTTCCTGATTTCAAACTATAGTACAAAGTTATAGTAAAACAATAGAGTATTAGCATAAAAATTGACATGCAGATCAATGGAAAATAAGAGAATCCGGAAGTAAACCCACATATATGGCCAATTAATTTATGACAAAGAAGCCAAGAATACTCAGTAGGAAAAGGACAGTCTCCTCAATGAATGGTGTTGGGAAAATTGAACAGCCACGCCCCAAAAAATGAAACTGGAACCCTGTCTTACCCTGTACACAAAAGTCTACTCAAAATGGATTAGGTCTTAAATCTAAAATCTGAAACTAAAATTCCTAGAAGAAAACATAAAGTAAACTTCTTGACATTGGTCTTGGCAATGATATTTTGGATTTGAAACCAAAAGCAAAGGCCACAAAACCAAAAATGAACAAATGGAACTACATCAAACTAAAAAGCTCCTGCACAGCAAAGGATATCATGGTCAAAAGTAAATGGCAACTTACAGAATGGGAAAAAATACTTGGAAATCATATATATAATAAAGGGTTAATGTAAAAAAATATAGAAAGAACTCACATAGTCCTAGCCAGTTTTGCTCAGTAGTTAGAGCATCAGCCCGTGACTGAAGGGCCAGGGGTTCGATTCCAGTCAAGGATTGCAGGCTCCATCCCCAGGCACATGCTGGAGGCAACCAATCTATGTGTCTCACATTGATGTTTCTCTCTCTGTGTCTCTCCCCCTTCCACTCTCTCTAAAACAATTAATGGAAAAGAAGCCTCAGGTGAGGATTAACAAAAGAAAAGAAAAGAACTCACACAACTCAATAGCAAAACAACAATAATAACAAATGGCAAAAACACACAAAAACAAACAATCCTATATAATAAAAGCCTAACATGCAAATTGTCCCCTCTACCGGAGTTTGGCTGGGAGTTCGATGGTTCAACCAGTTGCAATGATGTGCACTGACCACCAGGGGGCAGACGCTCCAACCCATAGGTTAGCTTGCTGCAGGCGCTTGCAGACTGGACTGGAAAGTGAAGTGTGGGGTGAGAGCCGTCAGGAAGCTCCCAGAGTTTGGCCTGACCCCACCCCCACCCCACCCCCCCACCCCCCCACAGGCAGAAGCCGGTGGAGCCAGAAGCCAGGAGGGACTAGGTGGCATGGGAGGTTGCTACATGTGATCCCAGAGCCGTGGATTGCGCAGCCTTCCACAGCCTGTGGTGTTCTCAGTGCACAATTTATACTTTTCAGAGCTGCTTCTTTTTATTTAAGTTTCACTAACTACTCCAGGAAAGTGGATAGCACCATTATGGGGGGATGGGTCAGGCACAACTGCCTGAGGCCAAGGGGTTGATCCCCAGTGTGGGGCGTGCAGAAAGCAGCTGATCAATGATTCTTGCTCATCATTAATGTTTCTATCTCTCTCTCACTCTCACTTCCTCTCTGAAATCAATAAAAATATTTTTTAGCCCTAGCTGTTTTGGCTCGGTGGATAGAGTGTTGGCCTGCAGAATCAAGGGTCCCAGGTTTGATTCCGGGCAAGGGCATGTACCTTGGTTGCGGGCACATACCCAGTGATGATTGTTTTATGACTCGGGATATGGTCAATTTTTAAAATGTTCCATGTACACTTAAAAAGCATAGAAATTCTATCATTGGTGGGTGCAGTGTTCTATATATTTCAATTACATTAACTTTACTCTGTGGTTCATATTTTTTTATATACTTACTGATTTTTTGCTGCAGTTACTATTGAGAGAGAAGTATTACATTTCCCACTATGTTTATAGATTTCTTTATTTCTCCTTTTAGTTCTGTCAATTATTTTTCTTTTAAATAATTTATAGCTATGTTGCTAGAAACCTAAAAATTTAGAATTCTTGTATTTTCCTGTGAAGTTATCATTCATATGTGTCATTATGAGATAGATACTCTTTATCTCTATAATGCTTCTTGGCTTAATGTCTCCTTATCTAATATTATAACTATATCACTATTCTTCAGTTAAGGTTGCATGGTGCACTTTTTCCAGCTTTTTAAAATCAACCTATCTTATTTTTATATATTTTTTATTGTTGTTGTTTTTTTAGTTTAATGGCTTTTTTTATTAAATTGTTTTATTGCTTAAAGTATTACAAAGAGTATTACATATGT